ATGAGCTAGAGCTAATGACGTCAGAAACTACCCACTCCTGAAACCTCCTGATTTATCTCCTGGATTCAGACTGAGGCGGCCCACAAAAACATGACCGAGTCATTTTTTTCTCACACTTTTCCTGCTGATAGGCCCTCCACAGTCCCAAATGCACACAATCAAATGATTAAAAACTCGGTTTTGCATAATACGTCCCCTTTAAATCTGAGTTTTTCTGCTTTCTGCCTCCCCCGGGCTGCAGCTGTAACCCCGGATAGGAAGCCTCCTGTTTGTTGACGCTCACCATGCACGTTGCCGGGGTGAAGAACAACCAACAGTACTTGATGTAAGGCCCGGGGCGGTAGCCAATCATGTCCTCGATGTTGTCGTAGAAGCGGTCGGCACCTGTGAAAACACCAGCGGGACACGTCTCACCAGGCGGCGCCCCCCGGTGGCCGCTGGCGGCCGGAGGAAGGGCGCTCACCGTAGACCCAGGCGATGCAAACCGTCTCGAAGATGGCCATGAAGAGCAGACACATGCCGCTGGCCGCGTAGTAGTCGAAGAGCTGGAACACGTACATGCCGCCCTAAAGAGGAGAGAGTTAGCAAAACGGAACAGGTTTAGAAAAACAAAGTCTTAAAAAAAGTTAAAAAAAGGTCAAATAAAGTCTGTTCAGAGTATTTCTATCGATGTGTTGATGAAAAAGGCCTGGAAGTTACTCATTTTGAGTTTGTGTCATCACATTTTTGGATTTTACCATAAAAAAACAGATTTAGCAAAACAGAACAGATTTAGGCAAAATAAAGTATGTTCAGAGTATTTCTATTGACTTCAAAGATTATAAAGAAGCAACAAAGTCGAGGAGACTTGTAGTTTTCTTCCATACTGTTTGATCTAAATCCACCATAATCTGTTTAAAACGTTGCTGAAAAAGGCCTGAAAAATCTTCATTTTGAGTTTGTGTCATTACATTTTGGGGTTTTACCATCAAAAAATGTACTTGGATCCCTAAAAAGAACAGATTTAGACTGGTCAGCATTCAGAAAAAAGGCCAAATAAAGTATGTTCAGAGTATTTCTATTGACTTCCATCCAGGAAAACAACAAAGTCGAGGAGACTTGAACTTTCCTTTCATGCTGTTTGATCTAAATCCACCATAATCAAGTGTTGATGAAAAAGGCCTGGAATTTACTCATTTTGAGTTAGTGTCATCACATTTTGGGGTTTTACCATAAAAAAATATATCTTCCAATGACAAATACTTATTTTCCTTGTTATAAGCTGTAACAAGGAAGTGGCTAAAACTAGAAAGACCTACAGTGGACGAATGGTTTGATATAATTTATAACATCTTTAAGATGGAAAGAATTACTTTTGTTTTAAGATTAAAAAGAGATCTGTTTATGACAAGATGTGAAAGCTGGATCAGATACGTCCCTCCGATCCGTCCATCCTTTGTATAGCTCTTCTATCCATTTCCCCTTTTTTTTATTCTCTTATTTTCTTTGCCTTTCATTTTTAACCCTTGTGCATCAGTAAATGATTTCCTTATTTTTCCCATCGCATAACAGAAGTACACCCCAGCATTTTTGGTTTTAGCCAAAGGGGTTATGTTATTTTTGTACGTTATTAATCTCACAAGAAATGTGAATCTTGTAATTGTGGTTTTCAA